ACACACACACACATTAAAAAAAGAAAACATGCATACACACGTTCTGTCCCGCGGAGCAAACACTTCCGAAACATGCAAACCTTTTCCGCGGTACGGAAAGCCAGTAAAACCGAGCGGCAAAACTTGGTTTATTTCGATCGCACATGAAATTCCTGAGAACAGCTTTTTCCGAACACACCGGCTTAGAAGAAATGTTGGTTTTTTCCAGGTTTCTACTCACACAAGAGGTTTGCAGGGGGCTTTTTTTTTGTGGCTACCGGCACGCCGTCTGTAGACTCACAGACCACCCCGGACCCTCATGCCCTCATGCTTGAGCTCCAGCCAGTAAACCCTAAGCCGAAGCATCCGAAACACTAATCTGGCAGGCGTGGGAGGCCTTATGGTTGGCATGCCACTGGTCTCTACAACATGTCTAGCGAGCGCAGTCAGAGCGAAGGAATCCTCGGATGTTACGGTCGTTGTCTTCTAATTCCCTCACTAGTTGCTTTGCTTTCCTGCAGTCTTATCGGATCAGTGTTCCTCCCAATTGTACAGAGACCTGGGCCTAGCGTGTTCGCAGACAGTTTAGGTTTAGGGCTCAGGGATGCAGTTCCGAATAGCAAATGTCTTGAGTCTCATTGTTGCACTGGCTGCATCGTGCCCATGTCCATTTTTTTGGTTGGTCTGATGAAGGCAACGACAATGACCCGGGCTGGCGTGATGAGCATTTTTTGATTAGAGCAAAAAACGAAGCAGATGACGAAGCCCTGTTGCCCGTCCGGCAGTCCTTTCTGCCCAGGTCTGCAGCCATGGCCTACCTCATTGATGGAAAGATCACAGGGATCTCGGGAATCGTTGGCCCTTTCGTGAGGGGAGCTACGAAGTGCGAACCGGTGAAGGACGGCTTGCTGCGCTGCTGCCGGGGTCATTGTAAGCAGCATGGGACTGTCCAACAGCAACGGTCAAGAAATCGGAGCAATCAAGCTACCAGTACAACATGAACGAGCTGAGGCTTGTCAGAAGGAGGCTTGGGGTTTTTGCTTCAGGTTGAAACGTGTGTGGACTGTGGTCGAGAGAGAGCCTGAAAGCGGGATAGTATAGTTCTCGGGGATTGGACAAGCTCTAGATGCCCAGAGACTGAAGACTCGCGGACCGGATGTCAGCCAGTGAGAGGATGGGCAGCTTTGGAAGCTTCTGTTTCTGACGGGCCTCTTCCTGGGCGGCTGGAGCTTTGGTCAAGAGTGGGTCGTTTGATGCTAAGTCGAGCTTAGGAAGCACATTTTTGATCGTAGCCTACACTGAGCCTTCACTTTCCAACAGGGAGACAAGGACCATCACTCCTTGTTTGACCTCGAAGTGCTCCGACCACCTGCGACGTGATGCCTAAACAAGGGCCGCGGCACTGCATGTCTAGGGATTCTAGTTTTCGGTTCGCGTGTCCTGCAGTTTTCGTCAAATCTAGGGCTCATGCTTCATTTTTTGCGGCTTAGCTTAGACTGTTGGGCTGAATCCCACAAGAGCAGAGCTGGACGGAAGAGGCAGCTCTGCAGTTTCAAGGAAAGCTGCGAACGAAAGCAGATATTTTTGTTTATGGATTTTTGGATCCTTGCAGACTTGTGCAGACCCAGCCATGCTAAGGATTGTCCTGGCTGCGAATTGGGATTTCTCCTTCCCGAACGTGCACGTGGCTGTTTCAGAAGCCATGGCACTGACCCACCCGAAGCCCAAGTTCCAAGCCACTGCCGAAGCCTCCGCCACCTAAATTCGAGCAGAGTTGCTCTCAGCCTTGCCCTCTTTGCTGGGAGTTTCCGGTTCAGGTGCCCCGACTGAATATCTTTCAGTACATCTTGGGAGGCAGGGAGGAATTTCTGCTCTGCGTAGAGTCGTAGAGTCACCGCAACTGCAGGCATTTGCGTGGGCATCGGCACTCGAGCTGGCAAGGCTCGTCTCGACATCTTTTTTCCAGACGCTGATCCATTCACCAGGGCCACAGGCAATGTGCAAAGTCTACTAGCTGCTGAGACGTTCCTGAAACTGAGCGAGAACAAGAGCCGTAGCGACCCATGCACGAAACAGCTCCGTCGTCCACGACTTCCTATTCGCAGGGCTGCACTTCGGGACACGGTATTTGTGGCCTGCCGCGGCTGTCGCTGCGGAGCTGGCGGCCCGGCGTGAATTTGATGGGGAGGGAGGAGTTTGTGGAATCCCAGGCAGTCGATGGGACTTCGGGGAATTTCGACCGCAGGTGCATTCCTTTGGGGGTTTTGTGCTCGGAGTTGAGGGTATGTGGCCTACACTGGTGACTCACAGGATCTTTATTTCTCCTGTGTCAGTGAGGCTGAACTGAACAAAGGGCCCTTGCAACGGATGGCTGAAATCTAATCTCCCGCACATGAACCAAAACTCGAGAAGGTCCGGCATCGACACGATAGCAAATGGATTTAACATCAGCATCGCTGAAACTTCGCAAGCAATCCGGGTGCATGCAGGCAGGCTGGATATGATTGAATTACAATGTCATACGATTTCCTGACGAAGTCCACGGCTTTCACACCAAGCTAGTGCCAGAGTTTGCAGTCACCAAACCCACACGTCAAAGCTATGGTTGACATTCCTGCAGGCCATCAGGAACGTGAGAGTGGCCTGACAATTGTCAGGGCACCTTTGCTTGTGGAAGCAAAGCCTTTGCCTGCATGAGTATCGAGACATGTCTCTCTCGTCATGCTCGCTTCTCTGCACCTTGCCATACGCGAGGGTCTTCGTGCCGTTCGGGCGATTGAAGCAAATCCTCTCGCCAATATTCAGGATTGCAGTGCCTACGTTTATGGCTGTAGCAGCGATCACGGTCCTTGCGCCTTGGTTCCACACAGCCTTCTGAAGTTGGAGGAGCTTGGGTCCTAGGCATGGTCTTGAGTCAGTTCGCCCTCGAAGATGGCGGTAAATGTCTCACTGCGAGCAAGTCGCAAATGCGCTGCAGTTGTCTGCAAGGTCACCCGCCACGCGATCAAACCATACAATGTGGAGCCTCTCGGCGGCTTGCAGTTCCACAACGAAGTCAGTTCGAAACAGCAGTTGAGCATTCGTGGCCGGTGCTTAGTTCAGGGGTAGCTTCTGGGCGCTAAGCCCGAAACCGCGGGAAATGCCCTGAGGTACAACTCGCAGATCGCACAGACGCAGTGGCCACCAGAGTAGCTTGGACCAGTTACAAAGGAGGCAACCTGAAGGGCGGCTTCACGTAGCAACGGAGTTTGCTCCGAAATCCAGCTTAAATCCAATGAAAGGCAACACTAAGTAGGTTATGTCTGGAGTTGAAAGCACCCCATAAGCGGTTAGCCTTATCCTAGTGCATGAGAAGCTTAGGTGGGAATTCCCGATTTTCGCCCTGCTCTCCTCCCTGGCCCTCGTGGCACTCAGCGTCCTCCTGCCCACGAAGCCACGGAAGCAACCTGGCAGCAGCACCTGGAGGTGTGGCTTTGGCGTTGCCCCCGCACTCCGAAAGTCGGAGAGTTCAACCCCAACTTGAAGCCTCTTTCTTGGGTCCACCAGTCTCGAAGTAAGGGAGGGTTTGCCTAAAGCTAGGGGTCCCAGAAATCCCAAGTACAGACAAGAAGAGAGTGGCAGGTTCGTCTCTCCTTTGTGCTCGGGCATCATCTTCGCCTTGGGCCTCGGCGCCAGCGGCATGACTTCCCAAGCCAAGGCCCGGGCCCAGCAGAGGAATCACGAAGGTTCTCTGCAGTCTGCAAGTGTACCTGATCCTGTCGGAGTGCCGTTATAACGGAATCCTGACGAAGCTATGTGCACTTTCAGCAGCTTAATTATTCGAGAAGCAGAAATTGCCAAGCAGGTGCTGAACTTCCTGGACTTCGCAGGATATTGGGATCCTTCCCTGGCATTCGTCATGGGCTGCGGCATCTGTGCCACTTGACGGTTGGGGTGTTCAAGTGCAAGCCAGCTTACATGCCCAAGATAGCAACTTAGATGACATACGCTGCGCAAGGATCCTTCTTAGAGGGCAGTCGCCTCAACGACGTCGCAGCTCAGTGCCCATGCTCATGTGGGCTTGAGCATACATCTAGCGAGTCGACTCTCGTTCTGCCCACAAGCTGAAGATTATTTAACTGTCGCAGTTCATGGGATTTCTTGCTGGCTGTAACGGCTATGGCTTCAAATGGGTTGCAATCTGCAATCTCTGTCTCTATCAGCCTTCGACACCCTAATCTCTCAGATATCGAATCAGTCCGTTTCACTCGAAAGGTGCCGGCGCAAAGGCGAGGTTCCCAGCTTTGAGTTGAACTTCTCACTCCCCCAAATCAGCCGCCTTTGGAAAAACAGGCTAAAGCCGAAGCACTTAAACCGACTTAAAACCTTCGAAGACAATCTCAGGTGAGCTTCCCTGCATATCTCATTGCGGCTCCTGAGCTTGCAGCGAGAGACGGAAGAGCGTTTATGTCAGAGTTGATGTGTTCTAGAGGCGTTTCAGGTCTGCCTCGGCAGAGGCCTAGGACGCTCAGGTACACAGGGTAGAACCACGTGAAGCTACGTTGAGGTCTTCGGAGTTCCAGGGTACTCATCCTTCCGTCTTGAGCTTCAGGATGCTGAAAGGCCAGACCCGAGAGCACACATCAACCTTTTCCGAGGAGCGTGGTGGCAAGCAGCCCTTTTCTGAGGCGCGCGGCGCATAGGTGTGCATGTCAATCCCGTTCGCACAGTTGGCTTTCGTGACGAGCAAGAAGATACAAGAAGGGAGCAAGGAACGACAGACAGGAGCAAAATCAATTTGATCAGGCAGACAAGAAAAAGGAAGAGACTAACAACGAAAGCAACGATGCAACAGATAAGCCTAGAAACCAATGCTCTTTGGTTCGGGTAGCTAGCTGGACTCATAATTTGAAGAGCCAGCAAATGTGCTAACTAAGATGTGCACCATGTTGCAGTGTTTTTTTTGTGCGTGTGTTGTCCCGTCTCTTTGCGTATGGTGTAACTTGATGCATGCTAATGGCATCCTTTTGAATTCCCTCGTATTACACAATGTGCATCGACAACACCTTATGCGAATGAGCTTCCGTGGGTCCCATCACCTGTTGTGTGTATGTGCTGTATGTGCACAACTGCATTCCAAGCGAGATTGTAGTATTCAAGACTTCGCACCCTGGTACCTTAACTGCCAACTGCCATGGCTGTACACAGCATTTTGCATTGAGTTAGAATACGTATGAACAATTATGCAACGTGTCAGTTGCTCCCTACCATACCCCTTTGTTGTAACATGACAATGAACTCTCATGCAATGCTGGCACATAGGTCTTGCCACACAGAGGAGTCGGCTACACTGACCCACTTCCATGTTGAACCGGGATGTTGAAGCGGTTCAGATTGCGTTCCTGTTCCTGTCATGATGACTTGCAAAAATGCAGGGGGGCTGTGCTTTCAAACCAGTCCTTGCTACCTCCCCAGCTTGCGCGGCCCCACTCTCGAGACCAGAGTTTGAGAAGAAGAATTGTGGTGTTTGGCCGCGACTACTTTTTCCGCCAGGGATGCACTTTCGAGAACCCACCGAAGAAAGGGAATTACGTGCCGTTGCTGATTGGAAACTTGGCAAACCTAGTGGACGTGAGTGACAGGGTGCCAGTTGCAGCTACAAGGTTTGACTTCATGTCCTCATTTGTTTTTTATGTTAAGCCTCGCCGGCAGTGTCCACATATCAACGCCAGACCGAGCGTCGATTTGGCCGATTTGGTGTGCCAGGATTTGGCAAGATTTGCAACGGAACCATGGATGCTCAATTTCCGAGGTACCTCGCTGTTTGGCCTTGGTGCCGGCCCCAGTGGATAGGCGTGAGCTCTGCCAAAACTGGGAATGGGTGCATTCACTACGACGAGCTCCCGCGTTCTTTGCTGCACTCAGTTGAGGCTGGGGTCTGGTGGGCGTTTGTCCTGGACCAGCATTGGCCGGAGCGGCCCCGCAACGTGGCGAGGGCTCAGGGATCGACATGCCGATTCGGGCTCGGGCTTGGATTCTGGCAGTAGAGCTTGTTAAAAGCCCGGTTGGTGCCAAAGAGGCTTTCCCATGCAGCCGTCCCTTCAAGGTATATCGCAGTGTGCATACGTTCCGGCGACATCCAGGACGCACCGGAGACGTGTTCATCAAACCTTCTTAAAGCCGTCCTGGCAGGAGCTGTACTTCACAATGACCGCCATCATTGTGGTGATAGCATGGCTTGTGACTGACAGGCTAATCGTGTCCCTTGGACTTAGTAAGCTTTCTTGTATTGATGGTAAACTCTCGGTCGCAACTAGAGCTCCAGTTCTGGCATAACGCTGTTTACAGAACTTGGTGCTTCTGCGGTTTTTACCAGAGGCGAAACTTGCAGCATCATGTCCGAACAAACGCTGAAGCCGAAGCACAATAATCCTACCATCAAGCCACGGAAGCACCCGAAACGCAGTGAGTTGGGCATCAATGCTTCCACTACCATCGTTGCTGCTAGTTTTGCCAGTTTTGCCCAGGCATTTTGGTCAGACGCAGTCTCCGGTTACCGCGACGACCGAGCCAAAAACTGGCCAGTGAATACTTCCGGCGAGGACGGGCTAGGTGGTGCATTGCAAATTGTTTTCTTGTGTGTGTCGGAGGGTCCAGCAAACCATTTCCAGTGACCCAATACCTTGCAGCTGCCGGGTCTGTCGAATATGTCTTGGTATGTCTGGGGAGCTCCCATGCCAGTGAAAGGGTGCCGTGGGAAACGGGCAGAACAAGATCTGAAGCGGCCAGGCGGACATGCAAGTCTGTGCAGGCGAAGGAAGAACTTGAAAGTGCAGACGAAGATGATCATATTCAATACGGTACCGGCAAGTCAAGCTTCATGTCCCCCGAGCATGTCGCACATAGTCGAGCTGCAAGAGAAAGTCGTAGCACAAGTTGACAACACATGACTCATGTGGGATGACTTTGAGAAGACCAGCCACTGGGTGTTTTGTCTGGTTTTTGCAGGATGCGATGCGTCCTTGGCCTTGGAGCTCCCGCTCCCGGAGCTCACTACCAAGTCCTTCCCTGATTTGAGTCTGAGTGGTCCGAAACTGTAAAGGCCCGAGAGTAGCCAGGCTCAGCCAGTGTCCGACCGGACCCTAGCAAATTCGGGTAAGAAGTGTCGCTCCCGCCTTTGTGCAGGCAGCGGCAGCACACACCGATCCTCTTCATCCAACCTTGCTTCCCTACCCAAATAACGACACGTCAACATCCCCATTCTGTGGCAGTTGCGATACGGCAGCTCGGCTCCAGTGTGTGCTCTTTAGAAGAGGCGTTTCACATCATTGGCCAAGCCATGCAAAAGCTTCCGGCTCCCGACAAGTTCGGGGAAGCCATGCGAAGCAGCTCAAATTTGTCAGAGCAGTCGGGGGACCAACAGATGCTCACGGCTTCGATCGGAGCAAAAGGGCAGCTGACTACAGCTGCGCTTGTGTTGAACACAAGTACTTTGTTCATCATTTGTTTCGCAACTTTAGCGGGGCCAGTTTCGCGCGAGACTTAATTGTTACTGGTGGTGGTGTCCCCTAGCAGAAGCGGCGAGAGTTGTGCAGCGCGTGTCGGGAACATTTACAGGCTGAAAACTTAATGTGCTGCCGGCACATACTGGCAACGGTCTGCCCCTGGTTTCCTGTATATGCCATGAGACCTGATAGCACCGCCTGCGATCGCCAACGGAAGAGTCTGTTGCCGAAGGCTGGCAGCGGCTAGCCATGCTGCAGGCGGCATACAACAACCAAACAGCAGGAGGCAGGACGACATTTCCAGCGAGAGATGACATGACCCCCACCAACGATTATAGTTATAGGTGCACACCATGCAAGCCTTACAGGGCCGCGAAACGACAAAGAGCATGCGTATCAAGAGGTTCCACAGACTTAACGCAGTTTCAGTTTGGTGCAGAAGCACCTCAAAATACTCGTTTCGCTTGAGATGTGTTCTGGAATTTGATACACGCCCTGAGAAAAAGCCAGATCCTAGCACCGCTCTTGCTTTGGCGTAGATGGAAAGCAAATTGCAAAATTACTTTAACTGAATTATGGTTCTCGTTTGCTTTTTTTCAATGCTGCCTGGAGCCTTTGGGGGGGCCTAAAACAGGTGTCGCCTGGAGCCCTTGCGGGGAGCCTAAAAGAGGTGTCGCCTGGAGCCCTTTGCGGGGGCCTAAAACAGGTGTCGCCTGGAGTTTTTGGGGGTTGCCTGGAGCTTTTGGGGGGGCCTAAAGGTTGCCTGGAGCCCTTGGGGGGCCTAAAACAAGTGTCGCCTGAAGCCTTTTCAAAGCCTAAAACAGGTGTTGCCTGGAGCGTTTGGGGGGGGGTCTAAAGAAGGTGTCGCCTGGAGCCTTTGGAGGGGCCTAAAACAGGTGTCGCCTGAAACCCTTCAAACGGTCTGAAACAGGTGTCGCCTGAAATTTTTTGGGGCCAAAAACAGGTGTTCGGAAACACAACGACAAATCCAAAGTCAGCCGACGGACAAAGTCACAAGTGATTTTCGTGTCCCTAGAACAAGCGACCCAACATAAAGCTCACATGTGAGCCAGCTTTTGCCAGCAAGTTCGTTGGCCTGCAACTTTGTCCTGTTCAAGCCAACGAGCTAGCATGCGTCAGCATGCGTTCGATTGCCAAGATGCTTGGCATGACGTGCAGACTTGTCGTGTTTTGATTTCGTACAGAGACTCCCGCCACGCATCGCATGCTTCGGCCTGTCGGGTTCGCTCTGATTGCCGCACTGAGACGGTTGGCGGCCTTCCTTGCGTGGTTCGTTGATCCAGTTGATCTGTAATGGCAAGGAAGCTGACAGTAGAGCTGGCAACAGGTCTGACAAGAACACAAGAACACGCAGCATTTAAAGAGTTTTTCAGCCAGCCAGAGACTCAGCGACCTAAGGTTTATGTGAGTGAAGAACGGCAGTATTGGACTTGTTGCTCCCAGTTCAGAGTTTATATCGACAGCACCGCTGTCGAGTTCTTGCGTCCACTATGTTGACCATGATGAGCAACGCAAGTGCTGGAGATCTTCTACCTGCCAGTCGTTCAGAGTCGTGCGCGGCGGCGGCGGCGGGCGGCACGCCGTCGGTTACACGTCGAACCGTCGGCAAGCACTCTCCGCGGTGCGTGTGCAGGGCGTGGCGTGCGGAGTCCTGCATACGATTGGATTAAAGCGGACTGTGGTGTAACCTCCGGGCCCAGTGCAGCTGTGCCCGCGGCGGCGGTGGTCGCATCAGCATTGAAGCTGCCACTACCTGGCGTGCGCATGTCGCGCAGCACTGGTCCAGGATCGCGGGCAATCGGGCCCACACGCACGCACACTCGGCGACCCTCGTTGCTGCTCAGCGGCCAAACATTATCAATAAGATTTTTTCCTGCACACACCTTTAACCAGCATCCAAGGGGCCGGGCAGGGGGTCGGCGTCGCCGGGAACAAGGTGGAGCAGCTGGGTGGGGCACCGCAGAAATGCGCAGAATGTCGCGGTCATGTGAAGCAGCGAACACATCAGTAAGTGCTGGCGGGGGCAACCGGTGGTGTGGCGAAGCGTTTAACGAAGGGTATAGTAACACAGCAGATTTTCACTTGCAATCTGGCACCCCGTGCTTTTCATGCAGATCGTCATTTCTTTGTCACAGGAATTGATCCGTTCTCGACCGGCTAAAAATTGTTTGATCGATGATAGAGTATGTCATCAATCTTCCAAACACTCGCTGGGTGAAGCGTGCTTTGGCATGGGATCCTGTTGGCACACATGTTCCTTGGAATACCGAATTCTGGGGCCACCAGCTCGGAAAACTTCGCACGGTGAAAAGGCTGCGTGACCGGAAAGTGACGGAAAAACGAAAAAGTTCCGTTTGGAGCAGCTTCCGCCATGAATGTGTGAATTTCAGATTTCCCGCCGGAAATGAGCGGGAGACCGATTGACATAGTAATGATGCAAGTGGTCAGATTGCTTTCCCGGCGCCTTTATATACAAGGCCGTCCAGGCGACTTGACCATCTCTCCTGCCCGGCCCTGCGCACATTTGCATGGTACATGCCGTCAGTGCCGCGCTGCCATCGACCACCCCCCGCGGGAGCCTGGGGATCAACAGGAACCCTGCCGACCACGACACAACCTTTCCCGTTTTTGTGCGACTACGCTGTGCGTACTATCTCACAAGCAGATGCGGCCCAGCCGTCCCGGTAACATGTTGCAATCGCATTGCTCGACTTCGTGGAATTGCCCGACGCCCGACTGCTGCCTCACAAGCGCACCGGCGGCATGGAGACGTGGCAACCGCAAAGTGGATGGGCATGCTGCAGTTGCAGCGCATTGCGTCCCGGGTCCGACCCCCGCCGGGAGGCGCTGCCCTTTTGCCCGGCCAATCACGCTGGCACCACGCCGCATGCCCGACCTGCCAAAGCAAGCGCCGCCCGCCTTGCCAGCCCCTTTGGACAGCACCGCAGCACCGCACCGGCGCCTGCGACGACCCAGTGCACAGCCCTTGGTTCTCCACCTTTGCCTTTGCCTCTGCTCGAGGAAGCCTGCGCCGTGCTGTACGTTGCCCGAATCTGCAGACATGCCTTCAGTTGAGGCGCAGCGCGAATGGCGCTCGCGCACTCCAATCGGCGAGTGGTGGTCTGTCGATGCGCCGTGGGCACGTGCTTCAATCCGCTGCACGACCTCGCCGCAGCAGTCGAACATGTTGCCCTGGCTTTCGCGCCGCCAGTTCTGCACTCGCCCTCGGCTTCGCCCGGTTCTTCGATTTCTTCGTCATCTTCCACCCCTAACGGCCCGGCCCCCTTGCAAAGTCGACGACGCCATGCCCCCAGACGAGCCCGTGCATCCTCAAGAGCCTGCCTTTGCCATACGTGTTGCAACAGCCTTGCCTCACTTTTCGACTTTCAAAGTCCCTCCCAAGCTCTTGCGAGGGCCAGTCTCTTGCAGCTGCCGCCACCAGCATTGAGTCAGAGCGCGCCTGGAAGTTGTGGTTGTTCCTCCCTCGCATGCTGTTGTTCCGGCCGACCGCTGCCCCTCGAAGCCTTGTGCGCACGCATTTTTCCCGAAAGCAGTGCTTGCACTACAGGGTTCTTACATTTGAGTAAATGAATTGTGGATGTGGGCCGCAACGGCGCACGTGGTGGTGGGGCGGGACCTGCGTTTCGACACTCTTCGCCTTCTTGCCTCCTGTAAGGCCCACTTAGGAGGCGGGCAGCATAGGCGTATGCGGAGGCGCCCTCCCTGTCTTGGCCGCTTGTAAGGCCCACCTAGCATGCGGGCCGCAGAAGCGGTGTCTTTGTGCTGGGCTTCTTGCAAGGCCACTTTTAGGATGCGGACCGCAGAGGTACACGTGGTGGGGCGCCCTCGCTTGGCCTCTTGTAATTAGCCCACTTGGAATGCGATCCGCAGAGGCACACGGCGGGGGCGCCCTTTCTTGGCTTCTTGTAATTGGTCCACTTGAAGTGCGGTTCGCAGAGGTGCGCGTGGTGGGGCGCCCTGCGGGCCGCAGAGGCGCACGCGGGATGCCTTGTTCTGGCATCTTGTAAGGCTGACTTAGGATACGGGAAAAAGGGACCCACG